AGGATAGTTCTAGAAAATAGGTGGCGCCACACCAGTCACGTGACCTCGATGACGCAACAGTAACATAGTTACAGAAAAACTTTGTGTTGAAATAATTATTATTTGCGCTCTATACATATTTGTTTCATATGATAATTTTGTTAGAATAATATTGTCAAGAAAATAAAATGAGTTTAGTTTAATTAGAAAATATTGAACATAACCAGCCATTTACATTCATTAACACCGTAAAAAAATATTGTTGTTTAACGTTTAGCAAAATCTACACAATGGATTATCTTTGTTTTATCCGCCACAAGGCTCCCCAGTGGTTCAGAGGTAAATCACTAAGTTTACGACATTAAACATAGGGTTTCGATACCTGTAGTGGGTAGAGCACAAATAGTTCAGTGTGTAAGTTTCTGCTTAAAAACAACAACAACAACCCACCATGAGTATCGAATCCCAAAATTTAGTGTTGCAAGCTCTCAAGCTTCCTGCTGAGCACTGGGAGGGGGAAATTGTATAAAAAGTAATTAATCTATTTGTCAATGTATCTCTCTTACTTACGATTATTTCCTTTACAATTCTATTTTGAACAGTTCAAATGACGTTTTATCAATGCATTAAAACATTTATAAAAAAATGACTGCGTTGCTAATGGTAAATATTTATAATTAAATATTGCTGAAGTGTTAATAAAAGCTTTATTGCATTAAAATGTTTATATAAAATAATGTAACTTATGCTCCAACGGTCCCTTGTTTAAGATATGTCATTATGGATGATAGCTTGTGATGCTTATTTGTTTTGTCTTGAGGACGAAGAACTTTTATCAGGTTTGCTGTTGTTTTGTATGGTGTTACTCTTATTTATTTTTAGAAATTTAGTTATTTTTCTTTGCTTGGTTTTTTTTATAATTCATTAGTTATAGAAAAAATATTTTATATTGAATATTTTTACAGGAACATTGAAAGATTGACAGTGACATTTATTCTCAGCAGAGTAGCCTAACTTTAACAAATGACCTTCCTAAACAAGGTTTAAGCTCTTAAAATGGTTTCGAGGGTAGTCATAAGATTTATTGGTGGTTTTTATTGAGATTTGAGTGTAGTTTTTTGTTGTTTTTTATACTAAATACAGGTCGTTGGGTAATCGTAGAAGTATAAATATATTTTTTCTTTAAATTTTAATGATGTATTATTAGTTTACCCTTCTGTTACTGTTACTACCACTAGTACTAGTTGTTAGTGTTAGCTTTGGAGGAGTAATTCTTTATGATAAACATATCGACTGTTTCAGTATTTTTTTATTATTTCTTTGCAGGAATGATTTAGTATTACTATATAAATTATTATTCATGGTAGTCATACTAATGAATTCTTACTACTACTAGGTACTTTAGCGTTTTTTCTTCTATTACTATTAGACTTAGAACTTAACTTAAAGGAAATGAACTATGGAAATTAAAATAAAAGTTGTTGATTCCAAAATTTACATAAAATTCATGTAATGGAGTATGAAATATACATTATTCAAACACTGAACACAAATATGAGATCATGCTAATTGTTTATTAGTAAAAAACAGTGAGCCGCTTTACTACTTCAGCAGGGGAAATGTTATTGCTAGCCTTGTATAAATGGAAAAACAAATTAACTTGAAGCTTATTTTATAAATTTTTTTTGTATCAACAAAAACATTTAATAGGCTTATAACATTGATTGTTGGTTCCATATTGATAGAAGATTATAATAATTATATAAAATGTGTTAATAAAAGTCATTAGTTGGTAATAAAACAAGTTATGAGGTCTCTATATTTCAACTTTTGTTTATGTATCGAATATGATTGCAAATTATCACTTCAAATTATGTGTGACAGTTTCATTGACTATGCAAAGCATTTATCAAATGTCCAAAATGTAAGTACAAAAATTATTAAAGATTAATCTTGTGACATTCAAAAAAATGTAGAACAATATCTTTCTTGTACTAGATCAAGCTAAAAAAAAGTTAATACCTTGCCTCATATTTCTTTTAACACAATTGTAGTAAACAAATGATGCAACTTGAAGTTAATTTGTAAAATCATAAGGAATACAGAAGAAATGTAACTACTTCTCCATGTTCATTGATAAAAAGTATACCATAAATAATGAATTTTAATATGCTTACTAAAATTTTTCATTAATATGCTGTGATGTGTACTATTATCATTTTTCAAGGGTAGTACAAAAGGTTATGGATTACATAAGTATGCCTGTTAATAAAAAAATTTTTGTGTCTGGGTTGTAGGCTGGTGCCATAAGATTAAAAGCTGGCTTATGCTGCACCTATTTTTAAGGGAAGTGATAAGCATTATCTAGGTAATTGTAGCCAATTAGTTTTACTTCTGTGGTGGTAAAAGTTTTGGAGAAACTGATTAAAGATTCTTGGCAAAGCCAGCTAACACAGTTTTCAGTTTTGTTGGACAACCAGTATGGTTTTATATGGAGAAAATTATTTTTTTTCATGAATCTTTTTACCTTCAAAGATTTCACTGCTTTTATTGATGAGTATAAAGGCTTTCAAACACATGAAAGACTAGAGTAATGAAAATTATTTCTGTGGGTACAGTGGATATGTTAGCTCAATTGGATTAAGGGTTGGTTAGAGGAGAGGAAGCATACAATTACAGTAATTGAAGTTCTGTTAAACTGGATTGGAGTTACAAGCAGAATATCCTAGAACTCTGTGCTGAGGTCCTTATTCTTTTTGATATACATTAATGATATTGATAGTAAAATAGTCCAGTTGATCAGTTTGCTGATGATAATACAGTTTGGCATAGTTGGCTGTGAAGAAGATCCTGTTGTTTCACAAAGTAACTTGGATTATTTGACAGTTTTGGCAAATAAATGGCAGATGGCATTTAATTATGCTAACTGCAAGGTAAAGCATGTGGGCTATCCTAATTTGAACTATAATTACCACCTTGATGGCAATAAACTTAATAGAGTTATGGAAGAAAAGGGCATTTGTGTTTTGATTCATTAGTCTCTTAAGCTTTTTAGGCATTGTGTTGTTGCCAGTAAGTGTTCATACTTATAAAGAAAGTAAATAGGATTGATGCAACATTTTTTTCATGTTGGACTAGGGGACTTAGATTTAAGATTTGGCAGGATAGAAGTTGTATTCAAATTAGAGTTTTATTTTTCAAATAGGCTGATCAGTCTTTGGAATAGATTGTCTTTAGGTATGGCGAAAATAACAGGATTAATAAAGTTTAAGAGAAGACTTAACGAGTACTTGAGGAGTCATGGTTGGCTATAGGAAGGTAGATGTTTGATGAAATGAACAGGACAGCCACAAGGGGCCTCTTGTTCCTCAAATGTTATGTCAACTCTCTTCATACAGGGTTGGTTGACATGACTGACTTTGTAACAACAAAGTAACCATCAGTATTTCCATATTATAACTTTTAATATGGTGTGTTTATCTTCACAAAATGTGGCGAGTTTTCAGTAAACATTACAAGTCTTGTGTACACAAAAAATCAGATTTTTTAATTATGTGTTTTTACTAAAGATGTGTCTGTGAATATATGGAATCAGATTGTTGACTGCTCTAAGTGCAACATGATATTTATATTTTAAATTATGATTACAAATACTTTATCTGAAAATTTTCAAATTTCATTTGCATAACTTCAAACCTCCTAAATAAGTGTCAAACTTTTTTTCAGTAAAACTTTATATTTTATCAGTTCTTTTTTTTCTATTTTAACTGATTTGGTCAGTTTAGCTGACCTTGTAATCACCATAAATCTAAATTACCCTTTTTCTTTTTAGAATGACTACAGATTGTAAACAGAAACTCCAATTGTTTATCCTAAATAGCTTAAGGCTTGTAACAGTCTACATCTGTTTCTACTTAATTTTATTGTTGTATTGCCCTTTAAATGGTGTCTAACTAATAATCCTGTCATACAAGTTGTAAATCACTCATTCAACATGTAGCACATGTTATCACAGTGAATGATATAACACACAATCTGATGTGAGCATACCTTGTTAAGAATTAATTATTTTTCCATTATCTCGTGTAATCTAACCTTATCTAACTTAACTTTCTAATTTTTATATGTTAGTTACTTTTATAACAATAAATAAAAAATACACATGAAAAACAATCAATACAGTACTTACTTTTAACCTCATTTTTTTGCTATTTGCCAATTATATTTATGCCTACATTTTTGTAATGATGGTACTGGTACACTAAATAATTATTTATTTACATAATGCACCTAAGAACACAGAATAATAACATGCACAAAGCAAACAATGTCCTCTAATTATTATAATCTAATTAGCTTTCTAACTAAGACAAAGGGGCTTTAAATAATTTTATTAGCTGCTGGAGCTGAACATTGTGAAATAAACTTAAACAGAATATGAAATTGAAAGTATTCTATGTTGAAAACAATGTAATGTTATACATCATTCGATAAATTAAAATTTTGCCTTTCTATGTACTGGTTATAAATGATATACTATAAAATTTCAGAGAGAATTATTGACAACTTGTGAAAGAGAGGGTGTGATAGGTGGGCGTGGCAATTGGGTGTGATTTTCTTGTTTATTACTCCGTAAACAAAGATGATTCAAGGCTATAAAAATCTGACTCTGCCTTGGTAATATCTATATTATGATAAGGAATGTAATTGAATTCTGTACTTCAGAGAGAAGTGGTAAATAAATTATAGAAGGGAAGACCTAGAAAATAAATGTCACGATTCTCATACTAGGGGAGATTGAGGGTTTTAAAATATTTACTTATAAAATTAAGAACTGAAAACTTACATAATGTTAAAATTTGATTTATTAACTACATTTTGATGTCAAATTTAATTATATATTTTGATAATAAAGTAGTTTAAGTTTTGAATATTACACTAAAAGGTTGTGACCTGGGCACTTTGACCTATCTGTTATGAAAGGGTTAAATACATTAGGTATTTTGAGATTCCTAGATTAAGAAAAATTTTATTTTGATAATTTTGTACGAGTATCTCTCCTCTCTTGTGAATTTAGATTCCAAAATTAATGTATGTATTCAGCATGTTTATTTTATATCTCTCAAGTGCTCATAATCAACAATAGAAAAATACGATTATGAAGGATAAGGGAAAGAGTTTATCACAGAACTGTTCAATTTGTGGTTTTTGGTGAGGTGGTGGTGATTATGTAGAGTCAAAAGCAGAGAACCTAAACTCTGTGAACAGTAATTAAGAATTTATCTTATCTCATGTTTTGGTAAGATTTAGTTCAAATATCTTGTTCTGCTCTTGTCTGTAGTCGTAATTGTTTAGCTTTCATGGGAATGCCTTCTATTCTGGTTGTCTGTTTACAAAGTTTATTTCTCTCAAACCATATGATCTGCTCTAATTGTATTTTTTCCCATTTTCCTTTGCACACAGCTAACATGGAATTTGGTTGTAGTCATTTAATTATTTGATTCTTCTAACATTACAAGAATAGCTGCTATAGTAGGTTAAAAGAAGAATATTTTACTTGTATAACATTTTTGATATGTAATCTATTTTTAGCCTACTGTAGCAGTCAATCTTGTATAGTTAATGTATATTAGGTAGAGGGAGCCTCTAAACGTATTTGTTTTTAAAAAATTACATGATGTAATGACCATTTTTGGGTGAAACATAAGATTGAAATAAGTTAATAGTGTTAAACTAAATATACATGTAAGGTTTCAGTTGGTGTAAAAATAACATCACACATTTGATTGGAGAACTTCCATAATGGGTAGGGAACTACTGATAAAATTTCCTGAGAATGACACAGCACAACAGAAAGCAGTTAAACAGATATATATTATAGTTTCCTTGTTGAAGAAAATTATGAATACTTGTACTTAGAAAAAAAGGGGTATAGTACTAAATACAACTAACGAAATAACTTAAGTTTTACCAAAATATAATCTTCTGGTATTATCTGCTTCTTCAATTACTTCTATACATTTACTTGTTTTTTTTTTACTCAGTTTCATGATGCTTCTTGTATAAGGTTCCTTGAAGCTTGGTTTAATTTGAGAAGAAACTTCCCCATGTGATAGACAATGAAAGGTCAGCCTTTAACCCGATGACTAACTTTCTTAGTAGGCAATGCAAGTCTTGCTATATTTCATTCCAACAATAAAACTAGTGGACGAATATTTTTGAAAATTCATAAATACTTTGACAAATGTAGGTAGTTTAAGAAACATAAAGCCTATTACTTTTAATAAATTTAGTTTTTTTGTATTATGATCTTTAATATCTTGGAGAATTACATTAGGAAATCGTATTTATAAGAAATGATTACAATAGTTATATTTGCCACAGATTTGAACTTGTTACTTTTAATGTTTTAGTACATTATTTTGAAATCCCTAAAAAATTGTATCCTCCATAAAATGCAAATTTTATCTATTTTTAATATTTTTAATAATCAGGTATACTTCTTATGGTTTCAAGTAATATACAGACCCGTAAATAATATTTGTAAATAAGCCTAAACAATAAATGAGTATTTTTATTTTTAACTAGGATTTCATGTTTATATATGCACATAAAGACATTTTAATTTTGTTTCATAAATATATTTTTATTTCAAATTTATGTTTATGTTTCATTGCAGTCGTACTTTTGTGTTTATTGTGCCGAATATACCGTGGGGTCAGCAGCGTGAACTTTGTACGTTGTCCGTAAACTATCTCACCCTTTTTGGTGGTCACTCTCGTTCAACCGAGCGCGTGCGCATTTGAACTTTACTGTAGATATGGTAGTAAGAAAGCTTTTTGGTTACTCGAATATCATTTTTTTGAACTTTCAGACAAGTTTATTTCAACATATGTCCGT